GGCGGGTGGTGAGCAATTGCATTGTGCATCACTTCTGTATATTCTTTTACCATTATTATTATTATTTTCCCTTCCTTTTCTGTCCTATTAAACTGTCTTTATCTCAACCCACACATTTTACTTTTTTTTTCCGATTCTCTCCCCCATCCCACTGGCGGAGCAGGGAGTGAGTGAATGGCTGTGTGGTGTTTAGCTGCCTGCCAGGTTAAACCACAACAGCTAGACCCAGATATATGAGTGAATCCCAGACTTTCTGCATATCACCTGCACACTACTCTTGATATGTCGTACCAAATAATAAATAAGCTGTGTAGCCAAGCGGAGTAGAGAACAATAACCTGTCCGGTACACTTTACCAATATAAAGTCATAGTCCAATAGCCAAAGGGAAGGATAGGAATCAGGAATTGAGTTTAATCAGTTGCTATTGCTTGCAAGAACTCCAGCGGCCTTACAGAAGAGACGAATGTAAATTAAGTCCGGTGGCGCAGGATAAAAAAAAGTTCAGTCTTGAGGTGAAAATGTTTCTTTTTGGGGAGAATATAGGAAATGTTTCTGTACTGGAGGAATCCAAACAACCATGAAAGTAAACGTTCCCATTCTGAATTATTTACTCTATTTTTTAGTAAGGAAAAAATATATACGAAGAGCAAAGCAGAAAACATAAAATTTGAAATAGGTCTTCATGTCCCAGGAGGCTGTCCTAGGGCGTACCCCACACAGGAGGCGTCCCCCTCCACTGTCAAAGCTGTCCCCCTTGAAGTTAATTATTCTTGAACTTTACCCTTTCCTATCCCAAGTGAATAGCTTGACCACAGAATTGTCATATCAGCTTCTCAGTTTTTTTTCTCTCATTCTCTCTAGTGTAACAACCATTGTATTATTTACATTAAATGAAACAGCTTCAGCAGGAGCTAATGAGGCAGACGGTGTTCCTGCCTGTTCCTCAACCCTACATATGTAATACTGTTTTGGTTTGGGGAACTTTCCTGTGATTGAGAAGACTGGGTTTCAAATACCTACTGCCTGTCAGGTCACATGGCTTTTAAAACTGTCACCCCAGTTTAGTATCTTAGCCACGGGTTATTAAGTTGAGTAGAAGAAAACGTCACGTTTTGCCTAATGGCTGTACAAACTTCTCTCGCTCTCTCTATGCATACAAGCATCCACATACACACACATGCGCGTGCGCGTGCGTGCGCACACACACAAGCATGCAGATATTCAGGTACGGGCCCTGCTTTCAACAAACAACTCGTTCAGCTTCAAGGGGATCCCACCAGCTTCAGGTTGTGCTGCAGAGCCGATGGCACCGACCGCTTAAACTCTTTGGAGCAACAGCGACTGCTGCACCTCCTCCCCTGGGAGGGGAAAGCCTTACGCCGGCAGGCGAGTGCTGGCTAGCTAGAGTGAGGGCTAGCAGTCATAGGGGAAGAACTGTGCCCATACCCAAATTGTTAATTGTTAACTACCTCCTCCCTGCTCTGCTGATGGTCAGAATAACACACCAGACTGGAAGGAGAGCAGCATCCCCAGTTGTCAGGCTGATGAATAACTCAACTGGTTCTCTTGAAGCTCCAATTAACGGCAAAACCTCTTTCATAGAAACAAGTGTTCAACGAAATAAAACCAATGATTTTTGGACATGGAGGATTAAAAATTTCTCTTACGCTTTCTGCGTAACAGTCTCCAAAAGCCGATTTGTTCCCTTCCAGAATTTCAGGATTAGTCCCCAAATATGCTTGACTAAAGTCTCTGCAAATAGCTTTATTTAGATGCGAAAGGAAAAATAAATTGTCTTGTTCACTCCATTCTAAGTTTCTAGTGCTCAGTGCCCATGAAATGGATTGCTTATGGGGAGATAATGTCTTTTTTGTGCCTTCCAAAGTCTGTGAAAAATGTCTTCCTGGTTAATAGGTTGATTAAAACTGTATATGCTCCAGAAGATAAATATGATTATTTATCATACTTGCCCAAGATAATGACAGTAAAGAAGACAAGGTTGAAATTCTGTATGATTTCCTCTCTTCCACATCCAGGGACATTCAGCACACGCAGATGGCACGCCACATAAAGGATCGCATTAACTGTTAAACATTTTTTCTTCCCATTAACTAATTTAACAATATGTCCCTGCTATTAAAGAAATAGACAAATTACAGAAAACTTCTGTCAGCTTAATCCCGATTGCTAAAAGAGGCCATTTGCCCAGATGGGATTGTTTTCTGGCCTATCAGGTTCGAAACGTCTAGAAATTCGGCAACCACCAGCCCAGACTCTCGCAGTGTTGATTCAGCTCTCCATCCTTAATTGAGTTTCAGGCATGTAACTCTCTGGAGATTTTTGAATGACAGCCTAAATATCGAAGGCTACTCTGCTCTGCGTGTATGTTAGGTGACCTGAATTTTCAAAAACAATGAGCTCTTAGGAGCCTGGTTTAAGCCAGCAGATGCCGTAGGTGATAAAACTCACAGCAAAAGCCCCTGAGACTTTTTTGACGGAGTGGGCAGTGGACCAAATTAAACAAGCATTTCCAGTTCGTTTTCATTTGCCACCTTCTACAGCAAAGATGCCGTTACTGACCTTGGGGCTGGTGGTACTGTGGAGACTCCTGTGGTAAGCACGAGAATGGTGGAGTAGCCTGCCCATCGCTGTTTCTCGCACAGCCATTTACCATACTGATCTCTTTTTATCACCGTTTTCCTATTTGTCTTTTTGCTTCTAAGCGACATAGTAGTATGGAGGGAGCTCATGTATTATTAAGTATTAGCCTACAGGCTAATTTTAGGAACGCACATGACCTCCATTATTCCTATAACTAAATGTGACCAGAAAGTTGGTGAAAAATCAGTGTAAATGAAACACACAGAGGTCAGCTGAAAAGTGACTTGAAACAACTTGAAACTCACTGCAGCTAGGCTACATGACCCACTTTGAATAGCAGTGTTGCAAACATCCCCTTATTTTAGTGTAACTCTTTGCACAGGAAAAGCTGATAATGAAAATAAACTTCCTCTTCCATGTTTTAGTCTTACACTCTCTTGATGCAGAAAGAGAGTAAGCAATTTTTTAAATAAAAGAGAAAGCAATTAGGGAGCCACTAGACCCACCAACTTTTTTTGTGCCAGTGTCTCCTTCTAGTATTTAAGTCTTGAAACTTGATTTTTTTTTTCATGTATATTGTCTGTTGTTTTTTGCCTAATTTTATTTGCTCAGTTGCAATAACTACATACACTATGGTATCTAGCTGCTATTGGTGTAGTAGGTACTTTTCCCCTTTATTTGTTCAGGGTTTTGTGGTGGTTTCCAGTAACTCTTTGCCAAATACTTTCATAAAGAGAAAAAACGAACCATCACAAAACCAGCAGGATGTTCACCAAGTGGAAAGAGCTGCACAGTGCAATAAAGAAAATCCAAGATCTCCCATGTTTTTCATGTGAATTGAGACTTCATTTACTTCTATGTTATGGTTGCACTCTTCTACAGAAACCTTTATCTAGAGAAAACCCGTTTCCAGCCAAAAGCACAGAATAAAGCTTGGAATAAGATGATCTATGAATTCCTCTCTCTTTCAAAGATGTTTTATGTTCAGCCTTATACCTCAACATGGATTTACTTGATCACTCTGTACTTGCCCTGTAAGTGTGATTCTATTGTAAAGATTTCTGTCTGTATATTTCACTATGTTAGGATTTTTTGAAGAGCATCGCCTGGTATGTCCATATCCAGATTTAATTCATCCCATCTGTCATAAGGGAATTTTTTTTTATAATACAGTTAGACTGATCCAATGGCTGACCATTACCAGAAGGGACAGCTCTCTTGTGCCAGGACTAGCACTTGTCTAACCCTCAGAGCTCTAAAGCGCTAGAAAACCACTCGTTTTGCTTCTGAGTTTCTCCTGAACTGTGTTCTCATGCAGTCACCGTGCTGATGGGAGGTAAGCAAGGGTAGAGCGGCTCCTTTCAGAGGCAGCCAGCAGGTAGGTCAGGTCAGATGCTTTGTACAATTCCAGGAGCAGCCATTCATTTCAGTACAGTGCAAGTCACCCTCTGACCAGTCCTGTCTTTCTCCATTGCCTGTGTGGGGAACTTTGGATGACTGATTTAGGTGAGTTTTTTAATCCAGATAAAGACAGATGACCCGAATCCCACCTTTGACACTAAAGGTAAGCAACCTTAAGGACATCATGCGCTTTGCATTTAGTTCAGTTTAGTACCTGACCAGTTTTAATGACATGGCTACTTGTTAAACTTGGTAACTCAGCACTAACGTGCGTTAGCGTAGGCAATACAGGTATCACCATGCACACAAACTAACAGAAATATGAAAACAGTACCATTTTTCATGTGCATATGATGGCAGTATTCACCACAATTTACTGAATATTGGATTACAAGCATCAAGCTATGGAAAAGATGTCAACTATTACACTTAAATTGCTTTAAAGATACTATTATAGTGCTGTCATGTTTCACAGGAAAACCATACTTCTCTATTATTCATCTGACATTTAAAGCTTTTTTTTTATGTTCTTTCCTAGGAATATAAAGACTTAATCACAAAAGACAGGTTTTAAGAGGACTTTATTAAATCTGACAACTGACTAATTGGACTGTGTGCAATTAATAAAAAAACCTGATAACTGAGCATTCAACAAAGGATTGTTCACTGATAGCATTTTTTTTTATTTCTGCATTTTTACAGATCTACAGTTCTGCAAATACAACGTTTGAGTAAGACATTATTCTTCCTGGTTTACGCCCACACTTCATGAGACTACTGCAGTGTGGAAAATGTCACATTGCTTTTCCTGGTAGAAGAGCCACAGGAACCACTGAAATACAAAGAAAACTAGCCCTGCCCATACACTTTCTTAGCTGAAAATATTTGTGTAGGACAGACTGGGTGTCTTGCTATTTTATAGCTTTTTCACTTACAACTTAAATTGCTGTACAAATATAGCAGAGACTTTTATGCAAACTATCAGATTCACTATTGTGGGATCCAATAAAAAAAGCTAATACTGAGCAAACAGTGCACTTTGTAGAGATCTCTTCTGATGCGCTACAGAGGAGCTCAGTAGGTCACTACTTGCATATTGGATGTTTTAAACGTTCCCTTCAGACATACAAAAATAGCTTGGTTTAGATACTTTCTCTGTTGCAAATTTAAGTATCTCCTTTATTTTCAGAAGAGTGCACTGTATGCTTTACCTTCAGGCTCAGTAACAGATCTGTTACAATTGACTTGACGGTTATATTCTTAATGGAACATGCAAATGTCACTGAAAGTAGTGTTCTCTGTTTCCTAGAGAAATTTCCTAAAATTCCTCTTAAGAAGCAGGATGGGACAAGAGTTTATTGGGGTTTTCTCCTTGTATTTACCACTGAAGATCAGTTTCTTCCTTAAGTCTTCATAAGATACAGTCTTTTCTCAAGTTGGAGCCAACTTATTTTGGAGGGTCCATTTCCTCACAAATCGACTATACCGAGCACGCTGAAAAGTACAATATAAATTGTTTTGTTTTGTTTTGAATTCCCTTGTTGCTAGATGTTAACTGGCATCCCCAGGTTCAGTGAACTCAGTCAGTAACTTGCTCAGTCTGAGTTTTCTTCTCCGTTTTTCAGATGGGACACTTCCGCTACTCCGCTCCTGTTCTTGCTGAAAGAGACGTCTCCAAACGGCTCTGAGTCTTTCACTTGGATTTAAGTAAGTCTTCCCATTCAACGGTGGACTCACTATTTTTAGGAATTGCTGGAAACATTGACTGCATTTTAGTTTGGAATTCTTTCATCTATAAAAGAGATTAAAAAATAAAATCAGTTAACTGTTAATAAGGAGCAAATAAAGTAGCACCATGAACCCCGGGCTTATTCCACAAAATAAGTTGTGTGAGGTAAAGAAGAGGTAAAAAGACTTTAAAAATAACAGAAAATTAAGACTTCCCCTCTGATTATGTTGGTTCAATTAACAAAGTGAAAAGAAGTACGAAGGGACCCACAACAATCCCCCCTTGTAAAGCACCACGCTGGGGTGCCTAATTTGGACCACCCGCCTGAATGATTCACTGCTGTTGTATGAACTACTATATATACACACACACATATTTAAAATGTTTTTGTCTGGAGGAAAATTACCTCAATAGAATGTGCCCATATTTTGACTGCAGTGCCTTTTTGTACACTTGTAATGGATGAAAGGCCCAATAGGTCTGTTCAAGGATTTTAAAACAAGGATTAAAGAAAAAATACTGGTCAGCTCTGACAATTTAGGTTTATCCCACCATATGGATACAGGTGACAAAACAAAGTCTCATTCAGATCTATACATTAGTAGGAAAGAAAACAAGATTCATAACAATATATAGGACCAAACTTTTCTTTCACTGCTGTTAAATTAAAATGCTGTGAAAGAGGGAGTTTGCTAGTTTTATATTCTGTATATCAATACATTAATACCAATTGCCAAATCTATATTTATGATAACCATTTTATCACCAATGTCTGATTCAATACTCCTGGCAGGGCAGAACTAAAATTCAATTTCTTTAAAAATCACTTCTGTTTGAAGATAATAGTTAGATTTAGCGGGTTTCTTTCTCCCAAGATTTTTACATGCAATATATTTTACATATAATATATTTTTAAAGGATAGGCATGGAAAAGTCAAATCAGTGAAAATCCTGTTACACAAACAGCAGGATGTAGAGGGGAAGTCTTGGACTGCTATTTTTAGGAAGCTGTACAGAATCTATGACATTCTTGCAGAGAAGACAGGATGTGGTATTCAAGCACTGGATGCAATGACCTCTTGAAGACCAACTGCTGTCTCAGGCAGTACGTCCCACGGAAAGGTTCCAGGAAATCTAGATATTCGAAACAGCCACATAGGCATCTTCTCTAATATGCCTACATTTTGTGTGTTAGGGGTCATCAGGTTTTTTTACAAATACCTTTGTATTTTCTGTTCAAGTCCTTCTGCGTACGAATAATTCTGACAAAGAACTGGTACTTCTTTAGAGAAACGTTGCTGGAATGCAATTATTCAAGTTACAGCTGATACAAAGAATGAAACAATTTACAGAGAAATTACCAATCCTTTATTAAGACAATAACTAACTATGATGGATGAAAGCATTTTAGAACTCAAGTTTTTGTGTAAAAATGGCTGGGTACTGCTAATCAAATAAAAATACATGTTTTATATAAAGTAGGAGGAAAATTGAGAGCCAAATTATCCTTTTTGTTTTATCCTGATTGTGGTGTTATGTAAAAACTAATTTACTGTCTGCTTTATATTTTATTCTGATCAGATAGCTGTTTTGATTAATTATTCGTTCTTGGTTTTTAAAAATCTTGGCATCACCCACAATCGTTCCTAAACTAATATTTTTGTTTCTTATTTAAAACTGAAAAACTCTCATAGACAGTTAATATTTCCAAGAATAATAAACACCAGTATCAGAGCTGATGTAGGGGAACAGCCCAAATTACATTAAACAATTGCTGACAATTAAATACAAGTATTTACAGTAGGAAATGCTTTAGGAGCTTTGGCTCATCTGTTTTTTCCAGTCCCCTGTAATTAAGTTACCCCAGTTCTCTGGTGTGCAGAAAGTATTCAATTTACTTAACATTTTTACTTCCTGAAGAGTGAACAAGCTCTTGTACTCTTTCATCTCACACTAAGTATTACCTGGGTGTTTGGTAACACAGGAGTGGTCAGATCGAAACCTGATGTAAGCAGCTGTAGCTCAGGTGGTAGAACTGGAAATAAAACATTTTATACCAGCTAATGATCTGGTGCAATGTGGATTTTTTGGCTGTTTCTAAACTCAGACTTTTGAATTTCTTTTAGTGTCAAACTTAAATGATGCACTCATAAGCCCTACAGGACACCTCTTTTACTCCACTGAAGACGCACAAAACCAAAGGAAAACTAAAAGCAAATATATGAGGCCTCCAAAAAAAGGATGATGCGTGGGGGAACCATTCAGAAAACTACAGTGCTGCCTCACTCTAACAGCTACCTTATAATTGCTCACATGCCAAACCCTAACCCTCGAATGCACAAAGCAATCTTGTCTGGGAAATAAAACACTACAGCTCTGTTCTGAAAGAAAAAAGGTATTTATTTAGAAAGCACTAAAACACTGCTAGCAGCTGCAGATTTAAGAATATTCAGATTTTTCTCCCCTCAGAATGCTAATTTATGTTCTGCAGGTAAAAGCAACTCATTTTCTGGAAAAACAATTTTTCCTTAGCACGTGGACAAAATCTGAAATATTCAATGTCTTTCTTTTGCTTTTAAGACTCCCAGAGAAATTTCCTCAGCCTTGTCTTCTCAGATTTTGATGCTTATTTGTAACACCACTTTGCAAGTGATGACAGACTCAATGTCTCATTTATCACTTCCTCTCTTGCCAGCATCTATGCCATTTTCCACAAGCCCCCTCTGCACAAAAATAGTTTTTCATTGCAATTCACAACTTTGACCACGTTTTAGATTTTTCCACAAACTTTCTTCCTTTGTGATTCCTGGACAGTGAGCTATTTTAATACATCATAATGCCAAGCTGATCACCACTTGTGCACTGTCTTCTCAATGTTACGCTCTAGGTTGTCAGCTGGTTAAGAAGGACGTTATCTACAGGACCGGCATGGGCCTCACTGATACATAATGTCTTCACAGTATGTCTAAACGGGGCCAATTTCTTCACAATACAAACGTCACAGCTAGTGACTCTTACTAGAAGTTTTCATTCTGATACAACTTAAAAGATACAGCACCCTATTATTTCTCTCCACAACAGTTTTTGAGTTCTCACTAATAATACATTAAGCAGCGTAATCAGTATTAGTCACGGACTTTTACTTTCCCCGTCCCCCTCTCCTCCCAGTAAGAAAGTGCAGTACCATATTTCATTAGGGCTTTGATCTGGACTTCTAAGGTATCTCCCCTTTCTCTTCTGTTCCGCTAATAACACCAGCTTCAGAGTGTCTTCCTCCATTTCCACATTTGTGCTTGTTGCTCTCCTGGATGTACTTCCAAATCCTAGCCACTGTCCTCCCTGCACTCAGAGCTCCTCTAAAGCTCACTTGCCACACTGCCGAAAAGCACGGAGAAGACTTAGAAAAAAAGCCATTCTCTGATGTAATGGAACCAGTGTATACACCCATAAATAACCATGGGAACCGCAATCCCAAAGTTCCTATCCCTTCTCTCCCAGTGTCAATGTCTGCCTGCTTATGAACCATTCTAGTATCAAATCTTAGGCTGGGACTTCTTTCAGTCAGAGACTATGAGCTCGATATCCTGGGCCTTGACTGGCCAAACTCTATTTAATGTATTTATATACTTAGGACTAAATTTGGCCTCCAGAGTAACTCACATTGGCCTCGGGGCTGTTCTTGCTTGCATTTCGTTGACGGTATCATACCAGGCCCATCGCAACTTCAGAGGATCCTTGCAGTGAAGGTAGAATTTGTACACTAAACACGTAAATTAGCTGTCCTTCAACGAACTGGGCTTACCAGTGTCCTGTCACCTCCTGCAGTGTGGTGAGCTTCTTGTGAAGATGATGAGTCCAGCTGTACGTTCTATTAATACTGCACACTTGAGGTGCAAGAATTGGGACCTTGTCTTTACCTGCTTTACCTCTCAGGGGACAAGCACACTTCTTGATGAGGGAAATGCTGCAATTAGGAATCTGTGTCTTGCCTTGGCTTTTCTTTTTAGTAGACATGCCACTCAGGAGGTCTCTTCACCCCTCTCCCTCCCTGGCAATCTTCTCCTGTATTTCCTCCAGATTCCACAATACACATGCCAGTGGTCTCAAATCAAAGGCATTAATTTAATTATGAAAGCTAATGTGCTATGTACTAAGTACTGGAGTGTTTTGAAATAATACACTGAAATGGCTGCCTCTTTATTATTGTCAGCCACACTGACACTGGGGTACTCGGTTCAACTGTGATAATGTCTTCAATTAATAGTGCAGTAAACCGAGCACTAAAAGCTGAATGTATTTTACCTCTTTCTGCTGCCTTCAGTATCACAGCCCACTCTCTCAGCTGCTGCCACTGAACCTAGTGGTACATGAACGATTTGTAACACATTTCTTGATTTAACATTCCAGCATGCGCCGTTCCTGGAGGCAACTCTCTGAACTGAATTTCACTCAAGTGAATTTTATTTTTTTTTATCACAGATATTGCAAAGGTTGACGCTGTTTTTTCCTGCCAAATAAATTACAGCAACTGTTCCACCTCTGACTGTCAGGCTTCTTTCTAAAAGGGTATCATCTACCTTACTGCATTAAATAATCTGTAATAGCTACAGATCACTGTTATTTTCTTATCTTAACCTAATGATCCTGCCTCAGGTGGCAAAAATATGGGGACCTAAAAGCATCTTCCATTTAATAATCTCTTTTTAATGTACATCGTTGACAGAATGTCACGCAAAAATTGGGATAGCACTATTACTGAGAGCACTTACGTGGCCGTTCATATTAAAATGAATGGAAGAGGAGCTAAAAGAGTCTATTTGAATCCTAGAATGAAAGTTTTACGAAGAAATGTTCTCTTTGATGTCTGACATTCATAATAGGCCAACCCAGATTCTAGGAATTATTAGTTTCCTATTTTAGTACTCGTACCAGTAAGAACTGCTTACATTAGCTTCTAAGTGAAATGAGGTTAGATGCCCTGAACTGGAATATCGACTGGCAGCAGAATACAGTATGTACATGCCCTATGTTCTCCTCAGCCACCTTCCATTTCACAAGGCATG